GGGGCGCGATGTGCTCGCGCTTCCGGACGGTGGTAGAGGAGGACGCTTCTGATGAGGGAGATGGAGCACAGATCTGAAGGAAGTGGGGGCAGCCATGTGGATGTCTGCAGGGAGATGCGCCCAGGACTGCAGACCTTACCTCCCCAATCCTGTCTCCGTGGAACACCTTAGGCCACTCCCGGGCCCCAGCTCTCACCTGAGAGTCAGCGTAGCAGTGACCTCCTCTAGGACGTGCAAGGACAGTCAACCAGCTCTTGTTTTATGCCCCTACAGTACCTCACATGGCTTCAGGCCCAGCTCTGTAACACTGAGGTGCTCGAGTTTTCTCTCTACCCGTCCCCTCATTCATTCATTCATTCATTCATTTCTTGAATAAAAACTGCTTGAGTAGCCCCCAGGGGCCAGGCCCTGTGCCAGGACTTGGGATGCATCTGTCACTCCCCTGTCAAATGTCCCAGGAGCTCCTGGAGGCAGAGAGACACTGCTGCCCCACCTCATTATCCCCGTGCTAGCACAGCACCTGGCCCCAATGGCTTTGGTGAGTATTTGATGAGTGAATAAACATTTGAGACCATTTTATTGAAATGCTTCAGAGTAAATTTGGAGACAGGCATTCCTCTAATCAAGAGTAATTTAATAACCACAAATGCCTTTTAACACAGTGGGGAGGAAAAAAAGAAGGTGTGCATGTTCCTTATTGCTGCAGGTAAAATAAATGGCATTTTTAATAAAATGTCCCCATACAGCATATAGAACGTGGCCACATGATGAAACAAATAAATATCTGGTGAAATTATGCATTGCAAAGCAGACCTTTTCTGGTCTTTTGGTTATTAAATGTAATCACTTTTGAGTCGTGCCCCTATTCTTCCTAGAGGCAGGTACGCGTTTGATTAAAATGTGGGCCCCAGAGCACTTTCGCAGCGGAAGGTTGAGCTACGTCCCCAGAGGGAGTGCCATGGAGCAAGCGAACGGGATGATGGGGCCAAGGCAACTGCCACAATTTGCTTCACGCTTGATGGACGTGTTTATCCCCAGACAGAGTGCACGCAGTCACAGGCGTATGGAAATCTTGCAATTAAGGCCAAGTCTAATTAGAGACGGCAGCTTCAAAATACAAAGGGACCTCTGAGTGGCAGCCACACTCCGGTCGGCTCTGAAACATGATTATCTCACTCCAGTCCCTGCCTCAGCCACCAGTGGACTGAATTACGGGAGGGGGCGGGGTTTGCATCCTGTTGCCGTATGTGGATTCTCTGGGCACAGCTCTGCCTTCAGACCGTGGAGACACCTAGGTCCCTGAAGAGCACGGGTTTTGGGATTTACCAGACTGGGATTTGAAATCTGACTCTGCCCATTATTACCACTCCAGCCTCAGCATGCTCATCTTCCTAGTGGGAGTGGTGGCAACCATCTCATAGGGCCATGGAAGGATCAAGTAAGGCTTTTGTGGGGATGCAGTTCAGGGAGGTCGTTCACCTAACTGGGTCACTTACACAGCCTTTGCTCCCGGCCCGTCCATGCTGGTGAGAGCGTGCTTGCCTGGGACCAGAGGTGAGAGCCTGGGAGGGCTGGGCTCTCACTACTGCATCCTTCACCCTTCACCCACAGGACCCAAGACAGGTTTCTTCGCAAGCTTTCTCTCTTTCAGTGCCTGACACTGCTCCGAGCGATCAGTTTTATGTGTCCACGCGTGGTGGACACTGGGGATGAGCCCGCGGGGTGGACACTGGGGATGAGCTGTTCCCCCTCAGCCCAGACAGTCCTTGCAAGAACAGATGGCCTGTGGGTCAGGGAGAAGGCACTGCGGGCAAGCCTTGTTAGACCCAGAGTCCTGGCCCGTGGCCAGCAGTGCTCCCTGAGCTTAGGCTGGGGTCAAGAGATGAATCAGAAACCAGGAAGTCACAATCTACTCAGGAAGACAGACAGGAAGAGAGCACAGAAGTGTGTGACATCAGTTTACATTCCTACAATATTTTACAGTTGAAAATGCTTCGACTGATCCCTTGTTTAATCCTCCCAAGAGCCTGTGAGGGGGGAGTTAATGCCAATCCCCACAGGACTCTGAGCTTCAGGCCAGCTCTGCCCTCCAGGTACACGGAAGTGGAGGTGTGTATCACGAACCCCACTCCCGTTACCCTCCCAGGCGAAACGTATGGAACCTTTTCGCTTTCTGCTTTTTTCTTTGGATGTCTTGTTTGTTTGTTTTAAATGGTTAAAACATTACAGAAGCCTCTTTTGCACTCTTCCCCATCCCCCAACCCTGATAAGCTGGGCTGTATCCTTCCTGCCCAAGTTTTCACACTGTGCCTGCACATCTGTCTGTCCATAAGAAACCCATAGTATCCTTTTGCATGTTTTAGGATTTTATGTACATAGTCCCAAACTCTAAGTTTCATTCCACCACTTGCTTTTTGGACTACACATTATGCTTTTGAGATTTATTTATGTGATACATGGAGATCTGGTTCATTTTTTGCTGTATGGTATTTCACTCTACAAAGAACGTCAACATACGCGTGTGTGTGTGGTGTGTGTGTGTGTATGCACATGCATGCAATGTGTATAGCTATCCTGCTGTTGGACATTTGCTTCCACACCTTCTATCATCCTGTGTTGCTTTACAAGGAAACCTTGCACATGTAGGTGAACCTTGAACACGGCTAGACTCCAACCGGGGAGGAGGGACACTCCTCTTTGTCACACAGTGCAGGGTCTGGCACCCTGCTGGCTCTGTCAGTGGTGATTACTAGAAGGCACTGAGGTTGTGATGAAAGAACAAGGGACTTGGTCTCAGAAGGACCTGGATTTGAATCTTGACCTTCTTACTTATTAGCTGTGTGACCCTGTGCAAAAATTCCAACCTTTCTGACCTGCAGTGTCCTTACCAGGAGAAATAAAGACAGTAACACCAACTCCCAAATATTCCTGTTGCGGTGATTAAATATATGAAGTCTTCAGTGTGGATCCTGACATACAGGAGGAGCTCAAGAAAGCTAATGGAAAGATCCCTGATCCCGGGCAGATGAAAGGGCACGGGAGAGGCATCAACAGGCTCCTGTCAGCTGCCCTTCTCACTCTGAAAAAGGAGGTCTAGGTCGAACGCTCAATTTTAAAAACAAAAGAAAAAAGAAAAGAATGAAAGAGAAAGAGAAGGAAAGAAAACAAGCCACCTTAGACTCATAACTTGAAACCCAGGGAGCTACCTCCAAATCCGGCTGGGTTTCTACTCCATCTGTGCCTGGAAATCTGGGGAGGGTGTCTTTGGTCTTGGACCAGGTTCCCTGAAGGGCAGCCCCACCCTGCAGAGGCCACCTGCACTCCTGGGCCCTGTGGAACGCAGCACCAGGCTGGGTTACAAAGGGTTAAATCTCTTCCTCCCCACAAAGAGACTGGAGCCAATGAGGCTTTCTGCTTAAATGGCCTATAACCATCTCTCAAAGCTTCTTAGCTCAGAAAGTGTACAAGTCAGCAAAATGAAAATAATTTAAAGAGCCATTGGGAGGAAGAACTCCAGCCTCCCTGCTGCCCCCGCTGACAGCCTCTCAGTAGTGACTTGCGTTTTTCACATTCAGGGCCAGGGTCTCCCCCCACCCACCCCACCCCCAACCCCCGTTTCAGGAAAGGATGTATCACAGGCTGAGATCTGCTGCCTCCCAGGAGGGAGAGGCAGGGGGCGCAGGAGGTCTACGGGGAATCTACCTCCACACCCGGAGTGCTTCGTGGTTTCCAAGCCCTGCCCTAGCCATGATGTTGCTGCCAGGCCATGGCAGCTTCAGAGTCTGGTGGAGCAGGGACCGTCACGCATGTATTATAACCAAGGACACGGAGGCTCATAGACAGGAAGTGCCAGACCCACCCTCAGCCCAGGCGAGTGGGATGCTCCTGGCTGAGTGCACAGCCCTCCTTGCTTCTATCACTCTGAGAGGTAGGATAGTACCTGTTAATGAGCACCTACTACGTGCCTGCCATGTGCGCAGCACTTTATGCAACAGCCCTAAAATGTTGACACTGTTATTCTTGTTCCACAGTTGATAAATCTGAGGACCCAGAGGTTGAGTAACTTGGCCAAGGTCATGCTACTGAAAAGCTGTGGAGGAAAGTTCAAACCCGCAGTCTCGTTTCACACCCACACTGTTTCCACGGTACCAAGGAAGTGCTTAGGGAAGACCTGGCACAGAGACAAGTACAGCCCTGCAATCTGCCCCACACTCTCCTGACACGTTTCAACTCCCTGATCTGGGTCTGCCGCCCCTCCACGGGCTGAGTCCCCACGAGGGTCTGCACAGAGTGAGTTCAGGGCATGGGAGCTGCATGAAGACCCAGCTGCCCTGGGCACACCCCATCTGGACGGCTGCAGGATGGTCTCACAGCCTGGTTCCCACCTGGCAGTGGCAACACTTAAGGAGGAAGGAGAGTGGGTACCTGACCCTCACCATCTCTCACCTGGGTTATTCCAAACACCTCCTTGACTTTTCTCTCTCCCTCCAAACCCGCCACCACACTGCTGCCAGCGTGATCCTTCAGCAGCTGTCCTTCGTCCTCAGAGTCCAGCACCTCAGCCTGGGACCAAGGCCCTCCCGGGACCCTGCTCCTACCCACCTCTCCAGCCTCCTCCCCAATACCAACTTCACCTCCACTCCTTGAAGCACCTACCTTCTTCTGCCTCTTGCCCCTTGTTCACTAGGACAGCAGACAGTTACACAGTGCTCACTATGTATCAGGGACAGTTCTAAGTACTTTATAGATATTACTTAATGCTCATAGGAACCGACCCCTCCATTTCATGGAGGACGGAACTGAAGCCCAAACCAATTAAATAACCTGCCCAGGGTTGCAGGGCCGGTAATCGGTAGATCCCGGGGTGAGACTCAGGCAGTGTGAGGTCAGATTCCTCAAATTAACCTCTGCCAAACCCTTTCCTCCGTTCTTGACCTGGTGACAGTCTCTCCTGGGGGAACAGGACCAGGAAGGTCTCATGACACCCTCTGAAGGACTTTCTTCATCCCTCAAGTTCTTAAAGCCCCAGGCCGAAAGAACTCCTTCGGTCCCTGGTTTCCCACACCTGTGGTCTTCAGGGGCCAGGATTCTAGGGAATTTCTTCAGCACTGGGCTCAGTGCTGGGCCCGGGACTCAGATGTGAACACACAGTGGCCCTGCCTTGGAGGGCTCACGGTGAGAAAGATGGACGCACAATGACAGTATGGGCTGACAAGGCCAGCAGAGGGCAGGAGAGGGTGCCACAGAGCAGGGGAGGCGTCCCCACCCAGACCGTGGAGGGAGCGCTGAAGACCTCCTGGAGGGAGGATAAGGAGGTCGGGGAGCAGAGGTGGCCGGGAAGGTCCACACAGAAGAAGCCGTTTGTGTCCACGAGCGATCTCAGGCAGCACAAAGCATGGTCGTAAAGACGCCAGGCATTGGAGGTGCTCAGGCTTCCATGCCAGTCCTGGATCCTCCTGGCCATGGTGCCATCTTGGGCCAGTTACTCAACCTCTTTAAGTCCGTTTCCTCATCTGTGAAATGTGGATGGTCATAGTATCTGCTTCACAGTGTTGTGTGAGAAATAAAATAATGACAGTGCCTAAAACATAGTAGGTGCTCGATAAATACTAGTTAATTAAACAAATATTGTCCATATCTATATCTCCTGCACCTAGCACACAGTAGGGGCTCCGCAAAGGGGTATAGAGATGAATGTACACGGTCCTGCTCTCACTTTGCTGACTGCCTCAGGGAAAGAGACAACTACATAGAAATTACATCCCAATGCTCTGAACATTAAGATGCTGGGAAGGTTGGGACTGGCAGGGAAGGAAAGGAGGAGATTTGGAAAACCAGAGAAGGGAGGGACTCCTTCTGGGAAGAGGTGGAAACAGTTCCTTAGAGGAAATATTTGAGCTGAGTCTTCAAGACGGGGGGAGGATAGGTTTTCTATAGTTAACGACCCAGGCACGAATGAGTGCACATCTTGGAATAAAAGTGAGGCTCCAGGTAGACGGGACAGATTTAATGTCCCATACTTCTCACACTCCTTGGATACCTCCACACCCGTGGCAGGGGCCCTGGACAGGGCTTGCTACCCCATGCTGATCTCAGCTTCCGGCGCACTCCGCTTCTCCCCGCCACACACTCAATCTGCCTCCCTGCTCTACTTTTGCCTTTTTTCATGGCACTTATCACTTTCTACAGTTTTCTTATTTATTACATTTACCATTTATCTTCCTAACCATCTCATTCCACTCCCACTAGAGTTTAAAGTCTTTGTCTTTATTAATATGTCTCAGACATTTAGACTAGTGACTGACACCTCGTAGACGCTCCGATATTTGTGAAATGACTGAATGATTCCATAATTACTCATGGGGGAACTTCTGGATACAGATGTTGGTGAGGTTAGAATACTGAATCTCTCTCCCCGTCAGCTACTGAAATGGAAACATGCCCAGGGTACCAGATCGGATATGGCCAAAAGAGTGCATTCTGGAATGGTGGAAAGAGCACAGGTTTTCAAACCACCCTTGAGGTGTGACTCCCTGTTGGACCCAACCAGCAATGCCTGTTGGAGTGGTGGGCACAGACTAGAGATATTCAACTCGTTGAAGATGAATGGGGGAGAGATGGACCGACAGCCAAATCATCTCCTCATGGCCATTCTCGTCCTTCTGGCGTAAGCTCCAATGTTACGTCTTAGAGGTCTTCCCGGATCACATCCGGATGGAGGAGTCCTAGTTACGAGACTAATCCAGCTCAGAGAAAGTAATTGGTAAAGAAAAGTGGGGTCTTTAGCAGAGGACCACACGGTTCTTTTCTTTTCACTGACCTAAGCATTATTATTGATAACTTGGTGAAGATACAAAAGATCATATTTCTACACTATAAAACTGGGAGGAAGAATATAGCACAGAATAAAATTCCATAAGGATCTCAAACATGCAAACATATGAATCGACAATTCACACAGGAAGAAGCTGAAAGAGTACTTTTGTAGAGAAAAAGCTAATTTGCCAAACTTCTTTAAAAATTCCAAACACTGGTGAAGTCGTGAGGAAATGTCACGTGCATGTCCAGCTACCTTGAGACGTGGCTTGACCTTTTTGAGAGAAATATAACAAGCATAGATATAACAACAACATGGAAAAGACTATACAAATGTTCTTGCCCTTTAATTAGCTCACTCCTGGGAATTGAAGAAACAAACAACTATAAATGATCATGACAGCATTATCTCTAATAGCAAGAAACTAGAGACAATAAAATGTACAGTGAGGGGATGAGAAGGTAATCATGACCCAGTGTCAGGAAGGGCATTGAAATGGCAGCTACACAAACCAGGCAGCAGAGTGGGAAATGTTTGCCATATGATGTTAAATGAACAAGGCAGGATCACGGGAGGCTGGCCAACTGCCGTGAACAAAGAGGTACTGCCCTGGACAGACAGGAGGGGCTCCCAGGAGTGAATGTGTTGTTGGGCTTGGTTCTTGGGATTATGGCTCGATTTCTTTTTTGGCTTTGGCTTTCCTCAAATTTTGTTTTGTATTTTAAACACAAATGGAAAAGAAGATCTCAACCAGCTGGAATGTTGGGCCGAAACCAATAAGATGAAATGGAACCGGGAGGCATGCAAAATCCGCTATTTTGTTTAAGAAATACATTTAAGAACACACAATTGAGGTGAGGGGGGGGGGTATAAATAGCTGCTAAAGTGAATAAGGGAAGGAAAAAGGGAACAAAAACAACCACATTTACTGCAGCCCGCAACTGGGATAGTGAGGGCTGGAGGTCTGGTACCGCGGGAGGTCAGTGTGGTTACATTAACAACTGCATAACGGACAAGGTGACTGGGGCTAGAAGATTTAGGAACTTGCCCAATTTCCTCTAGTCTAATAAATAATGAAGTCAGGATTTGAATTTGGTGTGAGTTCCTCTGTCATCAAAATCTATGCTCATTCTCTTGCAACACAGTGAACTAAAGGGATAAGTATTGTGTTAGCCAAAAAAGGGAGCAGGGCAGTATTTGGTGACCATAAGCTCAACGTGAGACAGTTCTATCGCTGAAGATGCTAATTCAAGTTTAGAGCATTCTAATAGAGATATGCCATCCAGGAGCAAGAGATGACAACCTGCTCTAGTTAGTACTGGTCAGACCCTTCCTAGAGCAGTGTCCAGTCCTGAACCCTACTTTCTAGTGGCGCATCCATAGAACAGCAAGCAGGATGGTCAGAGTTCTCAGGATTAGGGAACTAAGAGATGTTGAATGCCTAGGTGCTTTGCTCACGTTATCTTGTATAGCTCTGTATACAACCCTGTGAGATAGGTATTATATTCCCACTTTTAAAATGAGAAAACTAAAGCCAAGAGAGATTGAGAACTCCTTCAAGGTCACATACTAGTAAGTGGCAGAGTCAAGATTTGAACACAGGGCTGTCTAAATCCAGAGTCCTCCCTCTTTCCTGCACTGCCTCTCCCACGTGAGAGATGGCAGAACAGACTCTGAGCTATTGATTAGCCTGTGAAGAGACATGATTGCCACCTTCAACTCTGCAAAGGGCTATATATAAGCAGAAGCATTTTGCCTGACTTCAGAGGAGAGAACTTGAGTGACCTCAGCAGTCTCAGGGAAGTAGATTTTTAGCTCAGCAGACGAACTTCTCAGTGATGACAATAACTGGATGTGCCCTTGGGTCGGAAGGTGAATTCTCCACGCCTGGAAGAGTTCCAGCATGGTCTGGAAAGGCATTTGCTTTCAGTGGAGAGGAGATCTGAGTGGAGGACCTCGAAGCTCACTTTTGACCCTTAGGTTCCATGAGCCTATGAAGCTGTTTGGCAGAAACTGATTAATCTCTTCAACAGAAGTGATGAAAAGACCTGCTGGTATGTCTATTTGCAGATGTAAAAGTAAAAATATGCCCAAGGTCCAGACATTGGTCCAGAGAAAACTATATACAGAAAATGAAATGAATTCTGCTGGAAATGCTTACAGGTTAAGCGTTTACTTTGTGTAAACAAGAAACCAAACTCTGGAGAGATGTGCAGTCTCAGAAGTAATCAAAGAAAATATAATGAGGTAACAATTTTCACCTGTTAGGTTGGCAAAATAATTAAAACACGGTCACGCCCATTATATGTATCAAGAATGATAAAAGTGGTACTCTTTTTGACCCAGGTAAAAGGAACCTAAGAAACTGATAGAAAATATAAAGGAGGAAAAAAATAACCTGTGCACACAAAAATCTTCATAGATGTTTAATTTATAAACGACCTAAAGATTCAAGGAAGGGCAATGGGCCGGCTGGGTGGCAGCGTAGGGGCTGAGGTGAGCGAGGGTAGCTGGAAGGTTGGGAGTGGACCTAGTCAGAGCGCACAGGGAAAAGCTCATGAGCACTGCATGCTGTGGGACGAGCACAGGGTGTCTGGAGGGCCAAAGGCAGGTTTGAAGGCCAAGGTCACAGTGTAAGAGGTCAGAGCAGGTCAGAGACAGGATAGGTGCACACACAGGTGAGGACCGAGTGGGCGTGGGGAGAGGAAAGGAGAGAGGAAAACCACCTGTAACACTGGCGGCCATTTTTCCACTCTCCCTGGGTCACTTTAATTATGTGCCGGACCCAAGTGTGCAGAGAGAGCTTCCGTGAACTGGCAGCCCTGTGGGTTAGCCCCACAGCCAACCAGGTGGTTTACCCAACTGTAGCTTGATGTCCATTCACTGGGGGGATGTTCGAATTGATGGCTATAAATTTCATGGAGCAACAGGGCAACATGTTAAAAAGAAAGGGAAGGATGCAAACCTGATCATAGGCTATGACCACAGGTATGTAAAATACACATTTATGCTCTTAAATGAAGGACTAGGAGAGATACATCACAATGCTTGCAGCTGTGCAACTTGGAATATTTCCCTTATTTTTCCAAAAATTTCTATAAAGTGGTTTTCATTTCTTTATAATTACCAAAAAGGTCATGATTTAGAAATGCATCTAAGAAACGCATGGGCACATAACAGTCACTAACAACACACTTTCCTCAGCTAGAAAATAAAAACAAGCCACATCTTTCTGTTTGGTATGGCAACAGAGAACTTGTGGCCGGGGCTTCGGTAAACAGGGCCCAAACCTCATCATTTGAGGCTCTGCCAATTCAGGATTGACTGTCTTGTCCTCCACAACTCACTGGCCTGTCAGAGGAAGTGAAAGAAAGAATCTAAGTGTAAAAGTGAGGGGGAAATCATTGGCACCTACACTGAAAGTCACCTTCTGCATCATGTCCAACTAAACAGCATCTGGTGAGCATGAAAGAGTAACTCTAAACAAGGTTTTAGGGCAGATCCTCAGCTACTTATAAGAGGAAATTGATTCTCAATTTCAAATATTGTCATGCACTTTAGAAGGAGCATGCCTTTTTACTTAGGAAACGCTCCTGTCCCTTTGTTAAAACAGGACTTCTAATGCTGTCTACTAGATTGGTGTTATTCAAAACTGGCACTTGTGTTAAAACACATGTTCCCAGCTCTATCCCAGCCCTACTGAATCCAGCACCCTAAACCGAAGCCCAGGAATCTGTATTTTAAGTACCTCAGCAAATTCTCAAGACTGGGCAAGTTTGGGAAACTCCCTACTACACAAAATGAACTTCAGTTTTGTGTTTGAATGTAATAAAACTGTGGATGCTCATAAATGGTACTATTATTCCCCATCCCTTCAAATGGCTTGAATTAATGACACTGATTTCCATTGATTTTTTTTTTTTTTTTTTTTTTTTTTTTGCGGTACGCGGGCCTCTCACTGTCGTGGCCTCTCCCATTGCGGAGCACAGGCTCCTGGCACGCAGGCTCAGCGGCCATGGCTCACGGGCCCAGCCGCTCCGCGGCATGTGGGATCTTCCCGGACCGGGGCACGAATCCGTGTTCCCTGCATCGGCAGGCGGACTCTCTACCACTGCGCCACCAGGGAAGCCCCTCCATTGATTGATTACTTAAGTTGGGACTCTCCGAAATATGCCCTGAGATTACATGGCTAGATTCTCAGCCCAGACCATAATATTCCACTCAGTTTTCGAGGGAAGAGGTAAAAGGACAGATTTTGCACAAACCTGGATTCTGACCCAGCTCCACTGCTGACAGCTCTGGGACCTTGGCCAAGAAGTTACTTAACCTTTTCCGAGCTCATTTCCTCATTTGTGTGGGTGTAAGAATGGTGGCCCTGCCCTCACATAACAGTCACAGGGCACCAGGTACACAACAGGTGCTCAAAAAGTCTCGGTCTAACTAGGGTGTAAAAACACCTGCCCCCTCCCCTGCCCCGATTCCCCATCAGAAACAGCTCTTATGTCCTTCCTTGTCACATCTACTTTTGATTTCATTCTGCCTCGCAAGCTAAGGACAGCTGACATCTGCATGGCTCTTTGAGACTTATGGAACTCTTTTGCCAGCTAATACCTGGATTCCTCTCCACGATAACCCTGACTTAGGGATCCCTGCCTCCACTTTAGAAGAAACGAGCTCCAGAGTGGTCAAGTGACCTTCCCAGAAGTGGTAAAGTCACAATCAGATCCCACAATCTTTCACAACCCGTTCTGTCCCTGATGTATGTGTCATATATTACGCAAAGCACTTTCACATATCATAGCCATTTTTTTTTTTTTTTTTTTTTTTTTTTTTGCGGTACGCGGGCCTCTCACTGTTGTGGCCTCTCCCGTTGTGGAGCACGGGCTCCGGACGCGCAGGCTCAGCGGCCATGGCTTACGGGCCCAGCCGCTCCGCGGCATGTGGGATCTTCCCGGACCGGGGCACGAACCCGCATCCCCGGCATCGGCAGGAGGACTCTCAACCACTGCGCCACCAGGGAAGCCCTGTCATAGCCTTTTTAAACAGGTATTTTGATGACTATTGCCCCTTCCAACCTAAAAGCACCTATAAAGCAGGTATCATATCTTATTAGT